TTGCCACGCGTGAGTATTTATGCATATGTAAGATATTACGCATAAACCCAGAACCACAGACTGTATAGTATTATGTGTCAATAACATTTAAAAGTAAATATTTGATCACTACCACTCGTAATATTTTTTTTTTTCAAAACTTTCTTTTGGATATTTATTAAAATTACATATAGGGTTAAACACTAGATGTAGTTTAGAGGCTCGTAAATCATAGTGGATCTTGAATTTATTACTTTAGGGAATTGAAGCTTCATTTAGGGTTGGTTATTGAAGGGGTAGGTTGGAAACTCATTGATCAAGAAAAGTATAAAAATTACACTAAATATCAGACCTAGGTCAAGAGGGCAAGAGAATAAGGCAAACTTTGTTTTATACTTTATTACATTAGAGTAAATCTTTTAGGGATTAATTCATGCAAGTCATGGAGTGATCTAATCTCTTAACTACTTGTTATTATTCATTTACCTTTCGTATGTATTCGTAGTATGTTTGTTTTAAAGAAGGGAACGTGCAGGAGAATTTGCTGCGGCGACGCTTGCTCTTCCTTTAAGTCCACCCCTACATAAAAAGTCTTCCCAAAAAGTCCTTTTATTTTTTTATTTTTTTTTCTTTGGTGCTGGGAAGGTCAGAGGCAAAAGTCGAGTTACAGCTTTAGCCAAACCTAATAGCTTTTATTCGAATATTATATTTATATTAATAAATTCATTAAATTTATCATTATCATTTGAAGTTGACAATATTAAATCTAGAACTCATAAGATTAAAATTCTGGCTCCGTCTTGGGCTGGGGAGGTGGAGTTGGGCTAAAATACTGTTAGCTTCTTGACAAAATGGTAATTAATCTTGAGAGTGAGCGATCAGTGATAATTAATCACATCATCAGTAGCCTATTTCCCTCCTTTTCTTGTTTCTACTGAATAATTATTTCGGTATATATGGGCAAAATAAAACTTAGGTCTAGTTAAGTTGATTTCTTTGATACAATAATATTGTAATTAAAAGACTAAGTACATTCATACATATACCTGAACATATATACACACACAAATATATTCATATGATTTACTACTTTTTTTTAAAATTTCCCTGCCCTTTGATTCCCCTTTGTTGGAGCTATTGCTCCTTTGGCGACTTAAACCCACTGACTCTGGAGTTGTAGGTGGGGGGGGGNAGGTAAAAATAGCGTATTACATGCCTTATTTCATGTCCATGAGCAACCCCTCTTGTCGATTTACTACATAAAAGCATCAATTAACGAAATAACATATAGGAGCAAAGATAATAAAAAGAAGAGGAATTTTCAGAAACCACTATTGTTTAGTGGCTATTAACTTCCTATAACTATCATATACATAATTACTTCATATAACTACTATTCAGTTATTACGGTAATGTATTCACATGTATTCGCGCTGCTGTATTCATGAATACAACAGCAAAAAGCACCTAAATCAGGGCAGTCCAGTTGTACGCGCATGTATTCGCGCCATATATTCATGAATACAACAGTAAAAAACGCCTAAAATCAGGGCAGTCCAGGTGTACGCGCATGTATTCACATGTATTCGCGCCATGTATTGATGAATAGAGTAACGACAATTCCTTAAAAATAGGTAAAAATAGCGTATTACATGCCTTATTTCATGTCCATGAGCAACCCCTCTTGTCGATTTACTACATAAAAGCATCAATTAACGAAATAACATATAGGAGCAAAGATAATAAAAAGAAGAGGAATTTTCAGAAACCACTATTGTTTAGTGGCTATTAACTTCCTATAACTACCATATACATAATTACTTCATATAACTACTATTTAGTTGTTACGGTAATGTATTCACATGTATTCGCGCTGCTGTATTCATGAATACAACAGCAAAAAGCGCCTAAATCAGGGCAGTCCAGTTGTACGCGTATGTATTCGCGCCATATATTCATGAATACAACAGTAAAAAGCGCCTAAAATCAGGGCAGTCCAGGTGTACGCGCATGTATTCACATGTATTCGCGCCATGTATTGATGAATAGAGTAACGACAATTCCTTAAAAATAGGTAAAAATAGCGTATTACATGCCTTATTTCATATCCATGAGCAACCCCTCTTGTCGATTTACTACATAAAAGCATCAATTAACGAAATAACATATAGGAGCAAAGATAATAAAAAGAAGAGAAATTTTCAGAAACCACTATTGTTTAGTGGCTATTAACTTCCTATAACTACCATATACATAATTACTTCATATAACTACTATTCAGTTATTACGGTAATGTATTCACATGTATTCGCGCTGCTGTATTCATGAATACAACAGCAAAAAGCGCCTAAATCAGGGCAGTCCAGTTGTATGCGCATGTATTCGCGCCATATATTCATGAATACAACAGTAAAAAGCGCCTAAAATCAGGGCAGTCTAGGTGTACGCGCATGTATTCACATGTATTCGCGCCATGTATTGATGAATAGAGTAACGACAATTCCTTAAAAATAGGTAAAAATAGCGTATTACATGCCTTATTTCATGTTTCAATGGTAGTATATACCATAAAATACTTATTTTGCTATAAAATATAAAAGATAACTATAAAAAATAATATTTTAAAATAATTTTGGTTTATAATAAATAGGGTGTATACAAGTAAGATTTCCCAAAAAGAACAATATGCGTGTGAAAGTGAAACAAGAAACTTCAAAGACTAATTGAGGGGAACCTGCTATTTTATTATTGAATTTACATAAAATTAATATCATGCTAAATTGACTGAAAAGGTAGTTCACCATTGACTAATTTTTCCTTCATAGAAGCAAGAAATACCAATATAATAGTGCTTCACTAATCGTTTGCTTATCTATAATATAAGGAAATGGTCGACAACAAGCGTGGGATGTTACTTGCGAATATGGAGAAAAACACTTTCTCAGTACTTGATTCAACTAATAATTATTTATTTAAATAAACAATATTTAACTAAATTAATCGTGTCAATTGGCCGCCTTCTTTTTTCTTTTCTTTTTTTCCCCCCCTTAATTTGAAAAAAGAAGAAGATGGCCACTACATGAGACTTGTCATATTGATTGTCCCTTGAAATGGAGACTTTAGATGAGATGCGTTGGAGCTGCTGGAATGAATTTCTTTTTCTCCATTGTATTCGCTCGAGAAACAAAAAAAATACCTTATAATATATAGTATTACCTTAACCTACGGCATTACAGATCCCAATGCTTAAATTAAATAATTCAACTCTTTTTTTTTCCTTCTTTCTTGAGCATGTCTTTGACACAGGTCTTTTTAACCATTGCTGTTTTGCCTATTTACATTTGACAGCTTGAAACTTGTCTCCCCGGCTATGCCATTGTCATTTTCTTTTTTCCATTTTCCTATATAAAAAATAAAAAAGAAACTCTAATGGTTAAAAGTAAGTGTTCATCGCTCAATAATAAATGGATATTTTGATATTGAATTTACTTCATGTGATCTTGAATATTTTGTTATTTTTATGTCTTTGTGCGGTGTAGTTAAAAAAATTTCCTAAGATCTAATAGTATACTATGAGATTATAAAATTTTGTATTTTTTCCCCTTTCTAATCCTTCAAAATATTAGAAGAGACTTTTAAACGATCTCAAATAGTCTTATACCAACTTTGAGAAAGTCTTACGCCCAAATTGTCATTGACTACGAGAAAAAATAATTTAAATATACTTTAGGTTACTTTTCAAAACTCTAATACTGGACTTGTAACATAGTACTCAGTATATTTTATTTTTTCTGATGCATCACCAAAATTCCCCCATTTCTGTCTTTACCCTTTCTTATAGTTAGTTCATTGAAAGTTGAATATGGCCAAAATTAAGATTTCTTATTCAAGCAGTGGCGTGAAAAAACAATGCATTATAAGGTAGTTTAATTTAAGAAGCATTTGAAACCCACATTATAAAATTATAAAAGTACAAAAAACACAATATTTTCTTGCCTTTTAACATATGGAGATGGTTAAGAGAAATGAATTAAAAAGGAAGTTCAAATGATAGAGAGAGGAAAGAGAGGTCTTACAGTTGACAATTTCAAGATCTGATCCCAAGGCTCGTCTACTTATTATATGGATTTCGTACAGGGCTCACATTCCTTAAGAAGATGATGTCAGTGTTAACTTTTCTATTTTTAACTAACCACTTTCAATTCATAATCAACTAAGCATTTTGCTCTCTGTATTAGATTTTTGGTTTATCCTTGTTGTCAAGAAATCGTTTATAGACCAAAAGTTAAACGATTTCCAATTTGGAGTAAAACTGATTCGAAAAAGTATTGGGGATTATGTATAGAAATTCAATTTTGTCCGAAAAAATTTCACCAGTCTACTGAGTAAAGGGGCACTATTAGCCACATTATTTTGGGGTGAGTTAGTTTAAATTTAGCCATATGTGAAGAAAAGAATAGTATATGGTAACTCCGAGAATAGAGTGAAAACCTGTTGTAACATACCAAATTAAACTGATGGTGCAAACATTATTTATATTGTTAATGGATATAACTTGTCTTTATATCTTCATGTTCCCAAATTGTTTACATCAATTTGGCAATGGACTCAGAAATTTTACGTAGAAATAAGTGTTGAAGCATGCTACTATTTACATAGAGTCAATAACAACAAACTCAGTGTAGTCCCACAAGTAGGGTCTGATATTTACATAGAGTCGCAAGTCTAATTTATATAGTGGGATAATGCCTATATATAGGCTATCGAAGGTTTAATAAGAGAATGTGGGAAACTGTTGAGGGTTCTCAAGTAATTGACACTGTAATATATTGAGAAGAGGATGCTCAAGAATGCCAGACTACTGCCAGTTCCTAATACTTTATTAGTCTTACTAGTATTATTCTTTTTAATTTGTTGCTACTTAATTAGCTTGTATTGATGAGTCTAATTTAAAAACTGCAATTAAAGTCAAAACTTAGATGCGTCCTTAATTAGATGTCCAATACTATACTTCTTTGAGATGAGGGAATTGACTTTGGTGCCTCAAAAGCAGTACAAATTAGATAAAATCTAAGTTAAAGAGAGAGAGAGAGAGAGAGAGATCAAACAGCTAGCCAAAGTTTTCTTGTTTTTTTGTTCCAAAATGGAAAACAACAAATCTGAAGGTGATGAGATGGAAATTGATCTCAGCTTAAAGCTTGATTCTCGAGAAGAAGAAATAGAGCCATTAAATGAAGAAAATCAATCATCAGAAGTGAATGCCAAAACACAAGGAAAAGACCAAGAATTGTCAAAAGCTGAGACATCAGGAAGCTCAAAAACAGAAGAGGTACGTATTTCATCAATTACTTGCAATATTCTCTTTAAGTTAGTTTCTTTGTGAATTCACACATTTTTCTGCATGAAGTTGTAGTTTCTTGATAGCTCTTGAGGACTAATATATAAAAAAAATTGGACAATTTCTGATTTGTGCGTGTCATTCTTGTGCAGAGGCCATGCTAATCTTCTATGTATCGTTACTAATGTATAAGGTTCTTTTCTTGTGTCAGTTATCGATGTTACAGATGGAGATGAACAAGATGAAAGAGGAGAACAAGTTTTTGAGGAAGGCAGTGGAGCAAACTATGAAAGATTACTATGATCTACAAGCAAAATTCACCACTATTCATCAAAATAATCACGAGAAGGTACACAACTTTTGCATCAATCATGCCATAGAGTTTAAGTTACATCCATCGATAGAATAAATTTTTTTGGCTATTTATCATATCAGACTTGATATGGAGAACTAGGTCAACTTTAAAAATTCTTTATAAGCCAGTGCATAAAATCCATGCCAAATAGTCTTAGCTAAATTAAGCTTGATATCTAATTATAATCTAATTCTATATGATGCTAGTTACTATTGTCTTTTTTGTTTTTATATTTTGGTTATATATGTATAGGATCACAGGAACTTTCTTTCACTGAGTGGAAATGATGATATTACAGAAGGGCTGACGAGGAGTCCAAAAATCTTGGATATTAAGAATAGAACTCTATCACAAACATCACAAGAACTAGATGATATTATGGATGGTGATCAATTAGGGTTGTCATTGACACTGGTTAGTAGTAACAGCAGTACTACTGCAAGCAGATTGGTGGAAAGTACAGAAGAAGAAAGAAAGGAGAAAATTAAAGAAGATAATGCTGCAATTACTACTCAGATACAAAATAAAGGCAATTTTCAGGGAGGATTAACAAGCCATGTGACTACTGCTTCTCCACCAAACAGAAAAGCTAGGGTTTCAGTCCGGGCAAGATGTGAATCAGCTACTGTGAGTTCAACATATACTAACATAATTTAAATATTCGTTATTTTTTTTCTTGTTGTAATGAAAAAAGACATGCAAAAATAACTAATTAAATTCATATTTTTAGATGAATGATGGATGCCAATGGAGGAAATATGGTCAAAAAATTGCTAAAGGAAATCCTTGTCCCAGAGCATACTATCGTTGCACGGTGGCGCCCGGATGTCCGGTGAGAAAGCAGGTACGGATGCCAATTCTTTTTAAATTTAACTTATATAGACTGACAGTATAAAGAAGCTTGTCACTATTATTAATTGTAATTTAATCGGTTGTAATAGGTTGTGTATATTAATTACTTAGAGTTCTAATTATATTTCACTTATTATGGACAATTACTTTTAGTTATCCTTTAGGTGAGATGATAATGGAAAAGTCAGTATATATAAGATGTAGAGAGAAATTATTGGAATTTCAGACACTGTTTTAATTACTATGTATCATATGTATATATATCTAATATTAGAATCTGTTATCAGGTGCAAAGATGTTTAGAGGACATGTCAATATTGATAACAACATATGAAGGAACACATAATCATCCTCTCCCAGTGGGTGCAACAGCAATGGCATCAACAACATCAGCAGCAGCTTCCTTCATGTTGGTGGATTCAAGTATTAACCCTCTTCTTAATGGAAATATTAACCAAGCAGTTAATTTCCCTAATTACCATAATCATGCTCCTAATTATAGTCATCACATTCCAAACTCTTCTTCCTCTTCTTCACCTTATTTTTCCAATTTAAGAAACAACATCCTTAATTCTAGTGATCCAAACATAGTTCTTGATCTCACCAAGAATATTTCTAATGACCATCATCATCAATTTCCCTTTGTAAGTTCTTCTTCAAACTCATCAGCAACAGCAACAACAAATCAATTGGGCCAATATTCTTGGATGGCTAAATTACCAAGCAATAATTATGAAGGGAACAGTAGTACAATTGTGAACAACCTTTTTACTGGTCCTAAATTACTAGGCGATCATCATCATCAAAATAGTAGTAGTAATCCTATATTGGCTGAAAATATGAGTGTCATTGCTTCTGATCCTAAGTTTAGGGTTGCTGTTGCCGCCGCTATTTCTTCACTCATTAATAAAGACCAAAACCACCCAATTAGTACTGCTATGCCTTCATCTTTGGGAGATCGTGGCGACAGTAATGGTGGCTCTGTTAGGCATTCCCAATGAAAATCACAGCACACAGATTGTTGACCACAGATAAAAGATTGAATGTGTACTTCTTAGGTTTTTGGCAAATTTAAGATTTAAACTTGATGGATTTTACGTTTGCATTGAACTTATTGTAACTTTATAATTATAGTTCAGATATAATATTTGTCAAAATTTTAGTGTTTTTTTACATACTGTGCAAAAGTTACATTTGTGTTTGGTCTTGAGCGAGAGTAGTACGTTTTTCGTTTATTTTTTTAAAATCAAATACTTAGTTAATGTTAATATTCAATTGTCACGTAATTAAGTTTGTCCAGGTCCAGTGACATTTATTTTTGACTTTTTTGTTTAATCAAATAAGTATCATTTTGCTTTCTTTTTGTAAGTCACCTTGATGGAGGGTTTCCATGTGAAGCATTGACTGATGCAAAACTGAAGGAGTTGGATCTTTAAAAGGTTTGTTTAGCATTTGTGTTAGTATAACACAAGACATACTAATTAATTAATCGTCCACGAAAATAAGTCTCGAAATTGTCTTTACTAGTATTATTATTTAAGAAATCAAGAAACCGAACTATACATGCATGTAATTGATTAAAACGTTTTCTTTACTGCATTTTACCGGCTGTAATTTGTTACATTGTCCTTATAGTTATGCTGAAAATTTATTTGCACCCGTTATTTACACCAAATTAAGCATTCTAACTTTAGTAGTTATTAAAAATTAAAATGAATATATCACTTAATCATAATTAACTAATAAATGTCCGGATGAAAGATAGTACTTGTTTATATTTCTTAGCTATGAATGCAACCTTATCAGCTCATATGAAAAACACTCGTGAATGCAGAAATTACTACCTATATAATTTTAACCTAGTTGAAAAGATATTAATATAATGGAGCTAGTGGTATTATTTTGAAATATATTTTTGATATATCGAGTAAATGGTTAAAGATTTATTGGCGGCGTTCTCTTGAAAAAGGTGATTTTGACTTGTAAAATGTAATAAGAGAATATAGCATTATTGAAATTAACTTGAATATACAGAAGTCCATATCCAAAAAAGGTACCGAGGTCATCATAATTAACTATACAATAAGTAATTGAAGGTCAGTGGAAAAAAAAGTAATTGAATTAGTTAGACATAAAAACTCAACAATGTCAAGTTAAATATTATTCTATTTCGGCTCAGTTCTCGTTCAATTAGTATAGTTCGGATGAAAAGGGAAAAACAAACAAAAAACTATTCTCATACTTAAATTAGTTGGTGATTTAATATCCATCTTAATACCGTTGATGGGCTATACCACAAATTAAGTGAATGCTAATCACTAGGAAATCCTAATTCTAGCCGTATAATTGGAAAAAATAAAGTTGAATTATGAGTGCTTTTTTCTTTTTCTTTTTTTCTTGTTGACCTCTTGGATTTATCAACTATAGCCTATCTTTAAAGTAAACTTGGGATGATTTCTAGGGAATGGTCCGACTTGCACGATAACATCATATGCAGCTAGATGTAATTATTAATTTATTTGGATACTAGGAAATAGGAATTATAAAATGGGGAATCAACCCCTTATTAATAAGATAAAATTTCAAGTAACCAATCAACTAGACTACTAAGATTTTCCTAAGACATTTCAAGTTTCTCTTGTATCGAGTATTCTAATCACTCTATCTTACGTGATACAATTAAGAATTTTTGAGATGAAAGTGATCAAGCTTTACTTGTATCAGTTGAAACTAATTTTAATTCATTTACGTTTTGAAAGTGAAGCAGTAGAAATATAAAAGTAAGTTCTATCTAGAATAGCGATTATTAGTTCCCAAAATATTATTTCTGTTCTCAAAACCATGGTAAATTTGAATTTATAAAATACGTTTAAGTCAAATTAACAAGTGTTTGAACAAATAAAATTAATCAATATTTTATTTTTCAACTAAAGATAAGCTCTTTAATTACTATTCTTTCACAAAGTTCCGTTCTCTACTGTTGCAACCAAACACACCCACGCAAGTATACGTGATCGTCAAGTAATAGATTAGTGAATAGAGTATCGTTCCCACAAAGACTTATGCTTAACTTTTGACTGATTCAAACTCAAACAACTTATCGATTCATAAAATTTCTCACAAAGTGTGTAAGTGTCTAATTTACTACCTAAGAAACTATCAAGCAATGAAATGACTAGAAATCAACCACAACACTTCAGCAATTTTGGTTAACAATCAGTAGGAGAGGATACTCCAGGGTTATTGGCTAGCTAATAATCATGTTGCATTCTTGGCTTACAATGACTAATTAATTTATCTGGATTGCTGATTGACAGGGTTGATATTACTCATAAGAATCTGTCGAGTTCTTACTCCCCTATTCAAGCTAACTTAATGCCTATATGTCTATGGAATTAAGATTAACAAGAATGAATTTACACTTCCTGTATTTTAACCAAGCAGGACAATTAGGTATATGTCTATCCTAATTGCGAATCCGTTCTCCGATGCCCGGATTCAAGAACTTGCTCTATTTAATTCTATATGCAATCTAGAATTCCCACTTTCGAGTTCAACTCTAGATTCGTGAATAGTATTTCATTGTTAGCTACTCAGCAAAATAATTAAGGACAGAATTAAATAAACAACCCAATATGATAAAATCAAATTCGTCAATTTTAACTTCAAATGTCAACATTCATGTAGCACCCATGACCCTAGAACAATAGGGTTCTTAGCCACTCATGTTCATACAATCATAAAAAATAATATTTTCAAATATAAAATCAATGAATACTAGAAGAAGAATGGAAGAATTGATCAAATCCGTACTCCCGAGTGTTTCGTACTTTTGTTCTTCTCTCAAAGTCATGTCCTCCCCCTCAAAATAGGTTTAGGTTAGCTTTTATTTGAGCTAGGGGCATCTTGGGGCCGAAATAACCGAGTCCTAGTCGAAATAGGACATGTTCACGTTTTGAGCGTCCAGGGCAGCGTGGGGCGCTGGCCCTGGCGCTCAACTTTTCAACAGTCTGTTTTGTGCGCCACAGGTAGCGCCCCACACTGCATGTGGTGCTCAACTGGGCCATTTCACCCTTTCTTCCCATTTTCGATCTAATTCACGCACTTTTGTCCCAAATCGCATCCGAATAATTTATACACATAGAAATAATCCGAACAAATCATTATAATATACATCCGTAATTACGAAACATGAGCATAACATGAGGCAATATACATCAAAATATGCATACATTAAGCCGAATATCAACACCTCATACTTAGACTCTTGCTCGTCATCAAGCAATGGAACTACATTAACACCCCAAAACGTACCTATCACTATGAAAGAGCAATTCACAATTAATTCAATCAAACACTCTACCTTTTGACTATGGTTGATACCGCCAATTAAGCATGAACACACGAATTTCACATTCTTCCCGTTTTTAAACTAGCCCAAGTATACACAATGCTATTCAACCAACTCATGTCACATCTCCACAATCACCGTACCTCAAGAGACGACTCGTTACCACTAAGCATCCTCAAGTCACGCATTCACCCAACAAAAGAAGTGTACAACATTACCAATCCGTCATGAGACCAAGTGCCCTCACCACAAGAAAAAGAGTGAATATAAAAGTACCTCATACGTTCAAATATGCCATTGAACATAAATTGAGGACATCACATAATTGAACAAAATTCACTCACTCTCACAAAGAATTCATGTGCATCTCGTAGTCGTACCATAAGCTTTCCCGTAGTGTATATCTCTACTAATCTAAGCTAGCCAAATCTAGGATCAATTAGGACTGTAAGGTTGCAATGTAGGCTAAGGGACGGGTAAGATACATTTAGGAATAATGACTAACCCTCCTAAGCACTTTAATACACCACACTCAAACATCGAGCACATCTTTTTTTCAACCAATTCACCTGTCATACACCATATATAACATAGCCCTCTTTTCAATTAAGCACCTCTCTATGGTTCCACTAGCACGAATTAGAAGGATTAGGAGGTGTGTTTCTTTCTACATTATTTGAACTAATTTTTTTCTTTTTTTTTCTCTATATATTAAGGTTCATCGGGTAGTGACTTTTTTCTTTCACAATTTTAGTGCACCTTAAGTGCCCTTCCATAGTTCCACTCGAAAGTCACTCCCTAATCTCTCACCTTACTTCTTTTAGCGACTAAGTGACTTAGGAGGTAAAGGTTCAACAAGCTCAAATTAAGAATAAAATAGGAATACGACTTGTAGTATGGGTGCCAGAGAAAAGGTATATAGGCTCAAAGGGGCTAGTAACGGAAAAATTTATTTGTGGGTGACAAGCACCTCTATAGTCAAGCAATAAACTCCTACGTCATCTCCTAGACTAGCATAACTTAACGATTTCGATTAACACACTAGGTAAGTTCTAGACTACATGAGATAGCACAGAATATCATCAATCCTTACACGCACATAGCACTTGACTCAATCAAGACGGTTCGGTTCGACTCTCAAGTCAAGCAAGCATAGCGAGTTGAAAATTTTTAAGCAATAATGCACTAGGTGGCATACAAGTCAACCAACTGAGAACAAGGCGTCAAAGAGTAGGCAACTTAATTTACTTGGGCATTACAATTCAAATCAAATATTCAGGAAGTTAGATCGCATGTCATGGCTTAATGTGCCAACACCAAACATGTCAACAGGTACCTTAGAGCACCTCAGTTTTCTCCTTATACTACTCCTAAAAAAAATCCGGTTCAAGATACATCCTTGGAAAAGAACCGGCGTTCAAAGAAAAACCAAGGGATACTACCTAACTATCCTAAAAAGAACGAAAGAAAATCTTTTTGGTATTTTTAATCGGACTTTAATCCCTCAAGAAAATTGTCCAACAGATCCATCGTAGGGAAAAGAACGCGCTTTTTCTAATTTTTTATTTTTTTACTAGCTAATTAGACTATGTTAGTTCTAAACTAAGATAAAAAATATATTAAAAAAAATAACAATAAAAAATTTATACAGTTACAAGTCAGAAAGTATTCCCCCACCCCACACTTAAATAGTGCATAGTCCTTGATGTATAACAAATTCAAAACAAGGTAAGGTGGAAAGAAAGAACTCCCTGCTAGTCGAAGTCCACCTCCTCAAGATGCCCACCAATCGCGGCTCTGAGCTCATCATCATCTCCTAAGG